CAATTGCCCGTAGCTGAGCGACGGTGAACTTGCGGCGTAGCGCGTCGCAGGAAGGAAGGACGGCAAGGTCAAAACCCTGCAGAGTGAACGCCATTAGTGAGTGCAGGTGTGATGCACAGTAGTCTCATACCTCATAGAGAAGGCTGGCCGGGGCTACACTCTAGCCACAGCAATCAGTGTTAGAAGTGTATATGCTAGATATGAGGCGGAAAGAGAACGGGCGAAACACCTTCAGAAGTGGCCGGGATGGATTCCTCTGGTGTGCCTGGCAGGTCAGAGGGTGGGACTGTGCTGGCGACGCTGGTGTTGTGGGCGGTCTCAAGGTTGGTGGAAGGGGTTTCGCGCTTGATGGGGGTTTCAGAAGATGACACGAGCATTGCGTCGAGGAACTAGCAAAAAGAGAAAAGTGCGGTGAGAACAATGAATGTAAAAGAGGTGAGCTGCATGTTTACGTACCTCAAGCTCACGCTCAAGCTCCTGCTGCTGCTGCTCAGCAGTGGGAACCGAGCAGTGAAGGTGATGAGGGATCCAGTTGAGGAGGGCCGCCTGCACAACCTCGAAGTCACTTGGAAGGTAGACAATCCGCCAGATGTGCCCGGCGTGCTCAGCGCTGGTCGTAGCGGTCTCCTGGAAGCAGCCGAGGCAGAGCTGTTCGCTGTAGAGCTTGTGATGCGACATGCACGTGATGCACTGCACACCGTGCAGGAGGTCGAGTCCACACTTTGTGCAAGTTGTGAGGTGGGTGTCCAAGCACATCTTGTGCACCAGCCGTCCCTGCAATTGAAAAAAAAACGTGAGTAATCTTCACATCACACGGGATCTGCGTAGGTTGAGACGAACACTGAACGGGAGGGCTGAAGAAGCACAGGAGAGAGGGTTCGAGGTATCGGGGTTGACGGGCATAGAAATTGTCTCAGGCTCGGGCAATGGCTGCTGCGTGATGGACACCAAGTTAGAAGCACAGATTGATTGATCAATGGGGGAACGGCACCTGGTCAGGCTTTCTCTTCTTCTCATGCTGGTCCTCAGGCAGACCAGAATGCTTCCTCTTGCTGTGGCCACCCGGCTTCAGTTCTGTGCCCTCCTGCACGCTTAGCTTCTCCCACAGCAGTTTGAGCTGTTGGGTGAGCAGCGGATCTCTTGCTTCAGTTTGTTCTCCTGCAGTAAAGGGAGGCAAGTGTTAGCGAAAAGGTCTTGGAAACACAGTAAAGCAACGAGAGTCACACCACAGTGTTCACTGCAGTGGCACACAGTTGGAGGTGGTGCTTCAATTGCCACTTCATGATAGCTGTGGCAAGAGCAGGATTGGAGGTCGCCTGGGCCCAAGTCCAGTGGTTCTTCTTGGCAGAGTCGGTCCAGACGCGCTTGCTCAACTTGATTGCCTGATTGACATTGGCAATGTTGTACTGTAATTGAGTGAGCATTGCCATAAGGACCATGTGCAAAGCCAAATTAGAAGTACCTTCTGCCTGGGCAGGGGCTCGTCCTCACCATCAGGGGTCGTGCCCTCAGTCTCGCTCTCGCTCACCCCTTCTTCTTCCTTGGCGGAATGAGCGTGGCACTTTGTGCCTGCTGGAGGACGGCGACGAGCGGCAAAGCGGCGCTCATCATAGCACTTGGGGTCAGGTGACCAGCCTTTGTCAAGCATGGCATTACGTGCCGTGATCATGGCAGCCTCAAGATTCTCGATCACGGGCACGTAGATGTCCGTGTCGGCATTGCCCCACGATGTGAGGACAAAGATCTTGAGCCCACAGAAGCACTGTAGGAGAACCCTGTGGGATGATGTCAGCACACTAAAAAGTGAGAGAAAGATGGTGGTGTGCTTACTTGTAGGTTGGTGCAGCAACAACATGCTTTCCATCATGTAGTACACATGAAGTCGAGTTGAGGTGACGTGAGAACAATTTTGATTCCACCCACATGTTGACATTGATGTAGTCCACATTTCATGTCTCTTGAACCTTCATCAGTGTTGTAGCAATGCTGAGAAGGATGTCGGTGTAGGTGCAGTTGGTCTGCTGCAGGTTGATGGAGTCGGCCCAGGCGATGTCATGTAGTGATCCTCACAGACGAATGGGACGGATGGTTGAGCTCTTGAACTTTGGGACGGGGCGAGCCACTAACGCTGTGTGAGTGTGTGCCTTGTGTGTGAAGCACGTGATTGAGTGAAGCTATCTCTTTTTCGAAATATGTACAGGAGCCGTACCGCGTAGGTGGGCAAGTCCTCAACATGGATTCCGCCAAGACGTGCACACTCCTGTCTGGCCGGTGGCACTGGCGGCTTGTTGAGCAGGTGCTGCAGAGCCTCCCACTGCTCCCTTGAAAGTGTAAATGTACCCTCTGGTGCGTCCATTCACGTAGTGTGGTGAAGTGCGTTATGTGGTCCGTTGGGCTTCAGGTGTCGTGCGTTGTGGACGTTGAAAGTCAGTTTCCAGACATGTTTTCACACCTTCTCTCCCACTTCCCTCTCACATTTCTGCCCTGCAGACCATATACGGACACCTGGTCTATTGTGAAGTTTGTAATGGAGCTCAACGTGGATGCCCAGGTGCACGCCACCACTGACGCCCTGGCGCTCATATGGGACATAGATCCTCACAGCACACAGGAAATTGCCCATGCACTTGCTATCTACCTTGCCTCGAAGCCTGCCGCGCTTCAACAGCAGATGAATGCACTCTTCGGCGAGCCGTCCCACTCTGCGGCTGATGCCCTGGCGGACCTGCATGAGAAGCTCAATGATCCCCTCATCGGCGCCACAATCGTGGCTCAGGTTGGCCTCTCCTGGGAGCAGTATCGTCACCTCATCTCAATCGTCGGCCGTGACCGAAGCAACCCTCGTCAGCCCATCCGGCTAGTCTCTGGGCTCTCTGCTGGCCGCCTCCTACCCTCGCTCGGCGCGGTGCAGGCCTTCTGGCATTCGGAGACAGCCTCGGTCCCTGGGCTTCGGAGCTTCAAGCATGGTGGGCGCGCTGCCACCGTGTGGCCGGTCGAGTCAATCCTCAACTACATCTTTGCAAGCCCCTTCCTCCTCTCGTTCTTCGAGTACCATGGGCGACTCGATGTCATCCGCCGAATGGACGAATTCCCACAAGGCGGGCGCAGCGTCTTCGCCGAGAGCTACACGCTGCGCAACTTCGGTCGCCTGTGCAAGGTGCTGCCCTTCCAATTCCTTAGCATCATCTCCCACTGCACCACCCACTCCGGCGGCCTCGAGACACTCCTCCGCGTCAACAACGACTTCCTCAGTTGCGCGCTCCAGCAGGGCTACGTGACGATACGGCCGCCTGGCCAGCCCTCCTTCCGGCTCCCGTTGGCGCTGCGCGTGTGTGCCGATGACCCCATGCTGCGCTTCTTCCTCCGCCTGCAGCAGAGCAGCTCCATCTACTGCTGCGTCTACTGCCTCTGGCTCCGTGGTGGGCCGCCCACGCAGGACTCTACGTGCCTTCGAGTCGCGTCAATCCGTTCGGCCTGCGTGGCGATCCCCTCCTGTGGCGGCTACCTGGATGCCAGCAACACGGCACCCATGGTCGTCTCTCTACGCCCCTACGACGTGGTCTTCTGCGTGCTGCACGCCCTCTGCCGTGTTGGCGAGCTCGTGGCCGACCTCATCTACGACTACGTTGCATCTCAAGTGAACCCCGCTCCGCTCTTCACACAAGTACAAAACGTTCTCCTTGGTCCTGTATCTCTGCACTTCTCTCACGCTTCTGTGGTGAAACAGCTCAACTCGATCTTGGAACTGGGCCGGGTGCACCTCACCATGGACGTCGCCAGCAAGCCAGCGCAGGGGTGGCATCTCAAGGGAAGCCACGCAGCCCTACTCCTCAAGGTATCGACTCCTCTCCTCATTTTTCTCATCTCTTCCTCTCATACTGCTGTCTGTGCTCCAGATCTTTGCACTCCTTGGCCCCGCTCTGGGGCTGGAGGCAGCCATCATGGAATGCATCGCCGATCTTCGTCGTGTGTTCCACGTGCTCTACCTGTTTGAGCCTCTCGCGCCTGAGCATGCCGACGAATGGTCCTGGTTCAAGGACCACGTCGATGACGTCATGGCCCGCTTCCAGCGCCTGGTGGCACGAGGTCGGGAGTCTAACTACGTGCACGAGATCCAGAAGCACGGCATCGCCCTGCTCGAGCGTGGTGGTTTGGCCCCGTTCGCCAATGACACCCACGAAACGCTACAATGCCTGCTCAAGCAGGCGTTCCACAACTTCTCACCACGCCATGGAGGTGACCCAGCACACGACACACTTCATCATGTGTGGCAGCGCTGGTTCATGCGCCTGCATGTCCTTGTGCTCAACGCTCGCCATGGGCCAGCAGCAATTCCTGCACTGTCGGACCAGCTACGGACTATGTCTACGCTTCCAGACATTCTGTCTGAAGCTTTGAAATAAAGCTGCATTGCAAACCACATTCCCCTCAATCTGCCAGACCCGCCCTGAGTGTTCCGTTTGCCCTTCTGTCCTCTGCTACCTCCTACATCCTCGCCAAGTGTACACACCCAATGGACGACGCCTACGCAGCCCAGGTCACCACCTTCATCAACACTCACCCTATCGGTGTGGAAGCCCGGCGTGGAATAAGGGTCCTTCATGCACTGGGATGCCCTCCCACACTCAACTACCTCATTCTTGTCGTCCGCCGCATCCCGCCTGGCCCCGACGATGACGCGCACTTCTGGTTTGCGGACCGGGGCATGCTGGCCGAGATTCAGGCTCAAGGTGACGCACCCGACCACCCTCTGGATCTCAACACCGCCACCTTTGTCGAAGCACAGTTCGCGTATCAACCAACTGGCTATTACGCTCTTCTTGTAATCAACTTGGAGCAGTCTCGGTCCATCGTAACCTGGCTCCCTCAACCTGCGTCTGGACAGTAAAAACCAATGAAAGCACTTTGTCCACCCAAAAAAATTGTGTATTTAAATTGTCCAGACATCGTCTGCAATTGTGTTGGCTAGAGACGTGGACCTGGGGAGTGGTGAGAACTGACGGATACGGCCATACTGCGCAGAAAGCACCGCTTCCCATCCGAACAGCGAAGTTAAGCTGCGCCAGGCGGTGTTAGTACTGGGGTGGGCGACCACCCGGGAATCCACCGTGCCGTATCCTTTTTACCTCTTTGCACCCACAGCACTCCACTGCTCCCCCTTGCAGCACCACAGCCAGCTGCAATAGCAAAAATGCTGAAAGATCCTAAAATTGTCTCCTATTGAGGTGATCACCTCCACTCATTTGGTACTTCACCATCCCCCCCTCCTGCAGACCATTACTGGAGCCTAATGGTCATCACATTTGTGGGTGGGAAGCTGGCATGCCTTGGGTGCTGAGTTGTTGGTCTTGGACACTTCTTGTCAATCCACCTCCTCTTGGTGGTGGGATCTTGTCACCACTTCCTGGTGTGTCCTGGATCACATCCCAGGAGTGATGTTTTGAAAAAAAGAGAGCAGTAGATTTTATTGGTGAGGAGATGTTGTTGTGGTCCAATTCAGCACAATGAAATTCAGTCAGTGTGCACAACTTCAATGAATGATGTGAGGTTGATCATGAACTGGATGTGAGAGCAGCATGTTGCCACTGATTACTAAGTTACTGGAGGGAGGGTTTTAAAGAAGTTCAAAAGAGACATTAAGAGCTCACCAGCCTTAGTAAAAAAGACAAAGAAAAATGAAAATAGGATGAAAAAAGAAAAGAGAGAGAAAAAACACAAGAAATTCCATCACTTACATACATGATGCTCACACAGCTTTCTACACTATCTTCATCAGCCAAGCCAACAAGCTTGTACATCACCACCACAAGAAAATAAAAAACAACTTGCTAATGTCCCAATGCCTATTCTCCCTTCCTTTAAACAAAATCACTTTTCAAAATGACTGGACCAGTCTCATTTCAAATTAGTGCAAGTTACTGTTGAATTACCTTCAAGGGTTGAATGGGTATGGGCTTTGGGGAGTTTTATGGGAAGGTGAGCATGCTCTGAGAAATTGTGTGGCTATGTATTTGGATGGATACCAGTTCATCAGTGACATATGAGACAGATTGAGGAGTGCTTAGTAGGTTTGTGGAGCTAAGAGATGTATCAACAATTGCAGGAAGAGAATGAGCATGGACATAAATAAGGGGGAAAGAGTGTAGGCATGCGTGAAGATGTGGACTGCAAGGGGGAGCAGTGGAGTGCTGTGGGTGCAAAGAGGTAAAAAGGATACGGCACGGTGGATTCCCGGGTGGTCGCCCACCCCAGTACTAACACCGCCTGGCGCAGCTTAACTTCGCTGTTCGGATGGGAAGCGGTGCTTTCTGCGCAGTATGGCCGTATCCGTCAGTTCTCACCACTCTGCCTCCATCACATCCCCTTC